GTGGTGGTGGTGGTGGTGGTGGGTGGTGGGTGGTGGGTGGTGGAGGAGTGCAAAGTAGCCACGAGCGTCGATGATGCGTGTACGAGTCACTAAAAACTGTGGGTGCGGTGGAGCATGCACGAGAAAAAAAAGTGGGAATGCAAGACCAGCTTGGGAAGGTTCGTGGCACCGCTGCACCGCTGCACCGCTGCGCCTTCCAGGGTCTGTGCGAAGATCTTTGCTGCCGAATCGATAGCCGCAGGGCCGTTTAGGCCGAATGCGCGCGAAATGGATAGCTGTTAGATCGCGATTTGGTTGGCAATGTCTGATCGCTCATGTCTACATTCTTGTCCAAAGAAAAACGATTTCGGAAGGCTCGGGTCACGAGTATGGCCTTCTGGTGATGGATCTCTGCGCCGTGTATGATTGGTCCGGACATCTGCGAGTCATGGAAGTTGGTGCTGATTCGTCCGACGACAGCAGGTGAATGCACTGCACCGGTGCTGATGAGATGGTGCAAGTTGATTGGTCGCTGCAAGGTGCGGGTTTACCGTCGTCGCATGGCAGGCTCCATCCGAGGGAGGCATCCGCAGCCAGCTCCGAGCTGACGTTTTCAGACCCTTGGCCCGCCTTAGTCCATACGGCTATACCGTGCATGTACACTCTTTCGGGCGTGGGTTCGGCTTGACCGTCTTGACCGAAAATTGCGGGGGTGGCGGAGCATGCCAGGAACGTGGATACGACTCGGCTGTGGAGATGGGGATGCGGGGAGACGGCCATGTGGGGAAGCGAGCAGGTTGCAAAGGCCAAAGGCGACGAGATACACGTCGCACCAGGAACGCCAAGACCGAGAGCTCATCAGTACACATGGACACCGAGCGACGGGTTGCGGGCGAAGCCCCGCGGCTGACACAAGGACGAGGGGGCAGGGCATTGGCATACCGGGTCGACCGGCTACTCAACAATGGGGACAGGGCGGGACCGGGCGGGACAGCATTCGAAGAGATCATCGTTGCTCGTGCGACCGAACACTCTGACCCTCCGCGGATTTAGCAGCTCAGCTGTATAGTAGCACAGAGAGAGAGAAGCTGTCAACGCGGGGGTGGCGTGGAGGGTCTTTGAACTCAGACGCTTCTTCCTTTGCAGCGACTGCAGTACAATGGGTCGGATGCTGAACGGCTAAACCGCGTCGTTTGCATGTCGCTTAGCGCCACCTTTGTTCATTTGCCGCGTCCACTCAGGATTGCAATTTTGTACGACGTGACGGCCTGACTGACTCGACTTGGTCCAACCCCCTCGCTTGCAGCCGTTCAGGCCCCTCCCCTCCCCTCGCTTAGCATTGTCTGTCTCATCAACGCCTGCACGCTCGACTCCCGGTCCCAAGGCACAAGGCCACATCCGGCTCAGCGCGAAGCTCAAGTAGCCGCAGCACGACCTTCCCCCGCCTTGAGAAGCGCGTGTGCTTTTCTTCCTAAATGAAGCAAAATCACAGCGGGAGGCGCGTAGCCACTGCGTTGACAGATGCAGAGTCGAAGCCTCATTTCGCCTTCAACCGACCCTCCCCATCGCCTTTAAAGGCAACGCTCGGGCTTGCCTCTCGACGTCCATCTCTCCCCTTCCACTATCCTTGATCATACCCGCTGTTGCCTTTCTTCGCAGCAAATCCCATCCGGAATCATGTCGGCACCAGCGGCTCAGGCCGAACTTGCCCAGGCCCGCGAGGCCTCGTCTCCCGGCGACAGCATCCACGAGACCAAGCACGAGTCCATCGACAACCACGTCGACGACGATGACATCGACTCGCTCAACCCGGAGCAGCGCGCTGCACTCGAAAAGTCGCTCAAGAAGAAGCTCGACTGGCAAATTGTGCCCCTTTGCCTAATGCTCTACCTGCTCAGCTTCCTCGACAGGACCAACATCGGTCAGGCAAGACTCAACGGCCTCGAGCAGGACCTCAAGATGAGCAAGGACGGCCGCGACTACCGCATCGCCCTCACCATCCTCTACGTCCCCTACATTGTCTTCGAGATTCCTTCCAACCTCGTTGTAAAGCGTTTCGGTCCCGCCCGCTGGATCCCATTCCTCGTCGTTTGCTGGGGTCTTGTCTCCACCTTCCAAGGCCTCGTCACTAGCAAGGTCGGTCTCTACGTCAACCGCGCTTTTCTTGGTACTACGGAAGCAGGCATCCTCCCAGCGCTGGCGCTGTACCTCACTTTCTTCTACAAGCGCGAAGAGCTCGGCTTGCGACAGGCCCTTTACTTTTCAGGTGCCTCCCTTTCCGGAACCTTTGGCGGTCTCCTTGCCACTGCGATCGGCCTGATCAAACGCCATCCCGGAGGCTGGGCTTGGATCTTTATCATTGAAGGTTTGTTCACCATCCTCTTTGGTGTTGCCTGCCTTTTCATCCTGCCCAACGACATCTCCAAGCTCTGGTGGGTCACCCCGCAGGAGCGCAAGCTCGCCTACGCCCGTATGGCGCCGCCTGTCACCACCCGAGCGCCCGACGCAGAGAACGCAGTCGTGCCCGACGTTGCCGCTACGGCAGAGAAGCGTGTGGCTGCCGTCGCCGACGAAGCCTCTCTCGAGTACACCGGCAAATTTGTCCTGCGCGAGGTCATGCGCACCTTCACCGACCCCGTCGTTCTGCTCATGGCTGCATCCGGCTACGCATACGCCACGCTCCTCTACTCGAACGCCTTCTTCAGTCCCACCATCATCAAGTCGCTTGGCATCGCAAAGTCCACCGCCGAGTCCCAGCTGCTCTCGGTGCCGCCTACGGCTGCCGCTTTCTTCGTCTCGATCACCGCGGCCGTCCTCTCAGACCGCTACAGGTGGCGCTGGATCTCGATCGTCGTCCTGATCCTCATCTCGATTGCCGGCGTCGGTCTCGCCTACGGC